ATTGAGTCCTACTCATAGCGAAAATATGAAGTTAAATAGTGTCCGACAGTTGAACATGTTCTTTCATAATTTTTAAAATTATTTTCTTTGCTTTCAATAATAGAAAAACCGTTGTCAATTTACAAAAACGTTTACAAACATTTGAACAAACAAATAAATCATTGTTAGAAGATACAACTGTACAAAAAATACGAATTGGACAATTGGAAGAAGATCTGAAAAAAGCAAAAACAGAAAAAGAACAGATACAATTATTTTATCAATCCAAAATTGAAGTAAAGTATTTTGAATATACTTAATAACAAAAAAAAAACTATTTCAGTTATTAATTGACTCTTCTTGAATTTGAAAATACATCAAAACAATTTAGAATATTGTTATTTAAATTTTCAATATTCAGTTTTCATAGCTAACAGTCTATGACCAAAAATTTTCTTTGTTTAAATTAGATACTCGAGTCATGTCCTGATTATTTCGGTGAAAGATTTGTTTGTTGAATTGTGGATAGACACTAAGAGCAGATTGAACAAAAAATGTTGCTCGTCTTTTTTGTACATATTTCTGTTATCAATTTAGATAATCTGTAAAAATGAACCTTTCTTCTACTTTTTCGCGATTTTATAATTAAAATATTAACTGATCACAAAAATAATGATGATTTTAAATTATTATTAAAATTTTATATCTATCGTTGAAGTTTACGTTTACTTTTCGGTCGTTAGTCTTTATAAAACTATATTTTTTCCACAAATAGAATAACGTCGATCGTTATACAATTATTATCTGTTTACAATTAACAATTCAAATCTAATTTTTTTCAAGGTCAATTGTAAGAATACAATGTTTTCAATTTTTATTGAGATCGCTCAATATTTTTGAATGAACTCTTATGAAGATATATGAACTAGAGAATGATTTTTGTATATTGGATTATCCCTCTTTAACTAATGAATGATCCTCACGATTCTATCAAAGCAATTTTTTGCGCGTTTTTTCTTTTCCAAATAAATTCAGTTCGTATCTCAAAAATTTCAACCGAATTCATATGACTTTTTTGAATTTCCTATAATTAATGAATGCGTATTTTTCATATTATGTCGTCTTAATGTTTTAAATCCTTGTATGTACATACCGAAGTGTAAAGCCATGCTATGAATCTGATCTGAGAGGGTTGTAATCAATGATTTTCAATGAGCTTTTTAAAACTTTTCTTATTGTGTTATCCAGGCGTTCAACAGATGGGTTTACATTTCTATGTACATGTTGTGGTCTAAATTAGACTTCAGTTCAATTTTTAATTTGCTTGATCATAAATCTAAATCTAATTTTGAACAGATGAAAATAAAACATGAAGCAGAGAACTTGAAGAAAGACATCGATGAGAAAAGCATGAGATAGGTCAAGCGAAAATGTCATGTGACTTTTTTTTTAATTTTCTGATCATTTTGACCTTTCTCATTATCACATACATATGAACACGATAGTCTCGATATCAAACCTTTATCAAATCAGAACCAAAAAAGACTGGTCTCAATCATGTCTAGTCTCACCTCAGACTACCTCTCATACTCTCTACATGTTGATCTTCCTCTAAGTTCTCTAGTGCATCAGAAAAGTATTTTGATGTTATTCGAACAAATTTAAAATTAGATTGGTTTTATTTCGGATCACAATATCAGTAATACAATCAGTTATTTCAAATATATGTCAATAATAATTTCTATATATCATTGAATTATTTTTAGGCTTTAAATGCTGATATGACAGTTGAACGTGAAACTTATCAAAAATCTCGAGCTGGTTTAGATCTACTTTATAATGAGCTACAAAAGAAATATGAAGATGAATGTTTATCCAAACAAGTAAATATGATAAAAAAATAAAAGAATCTTTTTTTTTTGTTTATTTTCTTATAAAAATCTTTGTTTTTTTTTTTAAATAAATAGGATGTTGAAACAGAATATCAATTACAATTAGCGCAAAAAAATGATTTTATCGAAGCAACAAAATTAATGGAAAAAGATGTGGAAGTAAAAACAACATTATATCATCATATGAAAGATCAAATTGATAGTATTAAAGCAGAAAATATACGTCTATCAGAAAGAGTACAAGTAAGATTTGAAAAAAATTTTTGAAAATTTTATTTATTTATTTATTTATTAGATTGAATTAAATCGAAATGATGAAAGAGAACAACAAATACAATCGTTAGGTAAAGAAAATCAAATGTTAAGAGAAACAATTAGTCAATTAGAATCTAAGTAAAAAATAAAATAGAATTTTAAAAATTTCTTTATATTCTTTTTATTTTTTTTGTTTGCTTGAAGTATTGAACAAATCAATAGCGAAAAACATGCTCTTAATGATACAAATGAATCTCTAAGTCGAGATCTTACTAAATTAGATGCTGAAAAGTTTGTTATTTCATTTGAATATTAAAAAAATTTTTTTTTTTTTGTTCGATAGAACATCAATTGAAACTGATTTACGTGTTGAAAAAGATTTTCGTCAACGTCTTCAACAAGCATTAACAAGTGAAAAAGAAAAAGTTTCATCACTTCAATTTGATATTCATGAATTAAATTTAATAAAACAAGTGAAGAAAAATTTATTATAGTTCTTTCTTTTTTTTTGTTTTTTTTTATTGTTTCAACTTTGATTTTTCTTTTTAGGAATATGATTCATATAAAAAAGAAATGACAAGACAACAAAATGATTTACAAAAAAAATTTCAAGAACAAGAAGAAACTATAAGAGAATTAGCATTAAAATTAGAAGTATCTATTAAACGTGAAGATGAATTTCGAGAAAAAGATGGTCTACGTTCATCAACATGGATGAAAGATGAAGATGTTAAAGAATGTTGTCAATGTAAAAAAGAGTTTAGTCCACTTAGAAGAAAACATCATTGTCGAAAGTAAGTCACAAATAATCATTGGATTCAATAGACTAATTGTCTTCCATTCTTTGTTTCCTTATATTTCGATGTTAGGAAAATAAAACGATAGACAATTCGACTTGATGAGATAGATAGTTTATAGGAAAGAAAGTACAATATAAGCGAATAAATAAGCTTTAAGTAGAGGTATAGACTGACGCATTGATCGACAGTGGCTGGAATTTTTCGTAAGTTTTCTTAATTTCGAGACTAAATAAAGAGAAAACGATGATCGAAAACTTATTGACAAGAAACTAGACGATAGCATCTTTAAAAAACTTATTTGGGACGCCAGAAATTTTTAAAAATCAAATATCTATTTTTATGTCACGGCAGCAATTCAGCTGATTGGCTTACACCTCTAGAAATTCAACTGACTAAGCAGGCACAGACACCCAACGTTTTGGTTCGATCTTGACTGCACTTATTATTAGTGAATTAATAAAAGGAAGCAAAAGAAAGAATTTCAGACTTGACTATAGTAGGTTTACACAGATTGTAATAAATGATTCAAACACTGGGAGCCTGCAAGCATCTGAAAAAAATCAATAATATTCAGACGAAATCTAGCACGAGCTTAACAGAACCTTAGGATGCTTCCGTGATCGCCCCTATACTTTAAGACACACTTCAGCAATTATCCAAATACTCAAAACTGTCTCAACGTGTTGGATAGCTTCTGAATTAGAACTCGAGTTTGGTACATGTCTATAATTGACTCTGAAAGCTTGTTCTGGAAGTTCGAAGATAAGAAAAGATAACAGATTGATTCACTTAAATGATCAAAATGAGAATGATCTAGAACATGACTATCTGAATTACGAAGATTTACGTTACCCATTTAGCGATATTTTACTTGAAGAACTATAAATTTATCTTATTTTTTGAATATGAATTTTATTCAAAAGTCTGAACAATAATCATGAAAGTGGAGAAATACATGAAAGATATCTGAAATTCTTTAATATTTCTTTGTATTTTTTGATTTTAGTCTACTTTCGCTAAATGTTTGTCAGAATGATTAAAATCTTTGAAAATTTTATTTTATTAAAAACTAATAACCATTTTTTTTCAACAAAATGAATAGAAAAGTTGAATAAAACAATTGCTTTTTATACGATATCTTTTGAACCTATTATATCGATAAAGAATAATTTTTGTTAATTTTTTTTTCTTATTCTTCTATTTAGTTGTGGTCAAATCTTTTGTGAGACATGTGCAAGTACAAAATTACCTTTGCCTAGTTCAAACAAGCCAGTTCGTGTTTGCGATACATGTCGTAATCATTTATTAGCACAATGTGCGGTTAATAGTTCATGAAATAAAAAAGAAAAGAAAAATTCATACTGCGAACGCGAATATGATTATTTTTACATTTCGTATTACTGATCTATTTATATGATAATGTAAATAGAAATTGCATGATATTTAATTTATTCTTCTTATCAATGACCGCTCACGTTTACTTCTAATGATACAATAAAAAAATAAAATAAAATAAAATAAAATAAAACAAAACAAAAACAGTCTGTTTATTTATTTTGTTGGTGTTGTTATTATTGTTGTTCTTGCATTGTTTTTTCATGATAATATTAGTCAACACTTTTCTCTATTGCAAAAAAAAATACACACACATACACAAATTATTTTATATATAATTATTGTGATATCAGTGAGTTAATTTTTGTTTTTTTTTTGCTTATACAGCCGAGCTCATGTTCTTTCGTTCTAGATCTTAAAAAAAAGATATATCCTCATTTTAAATAATAAATATAAATATTATATAAGTGAATGAATTTCTATCATTCTTATCAGTATATATGTCGAATGTTTGATTCACACGTTTCGCATAACATATCGAATAGTAATTGTTTCTTTTTTCATCGCCCTCGTTCTCTTCCTCCTACATAAAACATCATTCACGTCTCATACATTGTACATGATAGACGCCACCCACTCAAACGAAAGTCAACAAATAAAAGGGTTAATTTAAATAGACTAGTCAAGTAACACGTTTCATTTATATTTGTAGATAAAAACAATATTTATTGAACACAAAATGCCGATACTACGAGATGATACACCAGATTTTCGTGAAGCTTTTAGTCTTTTTGATGATCGTGGTGATGATAAAATTTCGAAACATTTATTTGGTGAAGTTGTTCGAGCACTTGGATTAAATCCCACTGAAGGACAAATTAAAAGTACAACACAAAATTTAAAAACTGATCGAATTTCATTTGAAGAATTTCTACCATTATATGATTCTTTAGCAAAAAAGAAAGATAATAGTATGAGTGAAGAAGAACTGATCGAAGGTATATTAGATTTAACAAAAAAAAATAAAAAATAAAATAAAATGACTATTATATATATTTCTTTTTAGGTTTAAAAGTTTTTGATAAAGAACAAAATGGTAATATATCATCAGCTGAACTTCGTCATTTATTAACAAATCTTGGTGAACGTTTAACTGATGAAGAAGTCGAACAATTACTCACAGGTCTTGAAGATAAAAATGGGCTGATTCATTATGAAGAATGGATTCGAAAATTACTTCGCAATTAAAATAATCAAATAATAAAACATTTTTTTTTTCTTCTTTTCTTTTTCTATTATTATTATTGATAATATTCAGTGTCATTAATGTGCATGATTTATTTCTCATTTTTTGAACGTTCTTTTTTTTTTTCTTCTGTAACTTCACTGATTCATTCCATCATATAGTTTTTTTTTATTTCAAGTCTCACAAGAAAAACGAATTGATTCAATTTTTTAGATGCTTATTGATTCTAAGTATTTACCATTTTGTGTTCGATGCCGAACAGAAAAAATTCTTTCATCTCAGTAAGTATTTTGTTTTGACCTATAAATAAAATAACAAACCTATGTCGTCAATTTTTGCATCAAAACTAATAGGTTACTCCTTTTTTTATCAAGTTTTTGAGTTCGTGTAGAATTGAAAAAAAAAAAGAAACTTCTGCAAAAAATAAATAAAAAATGTAAGAAATCAAAGTAGTATAATGGCATAGTTGTACACTACTCTAGTGTTCGTATCACTAATATTTCTAGATTTCGATACTGTTACAATTCATCTTTTTAAGAAAATGATTTTGTCGCAAAATGAAGTTTCCCAAGACTTGAAGTTTTTTTTTAATAATTTTTCTATTATATTAATATTTTTGTTGCTGAGAGATGGATTGATACTCAAAAAAAAAGTCGATTTTAATATGGCATAGTATATTTTGTCAGATGGCTCCATCGAGAATTAAGCGATAACACCTAGTGTGATGAATACACATAGTTAGTATCGGAATACGATTTTCAACTGAAACCTGCAACTTTCTAGGAATATAAACATATTCATGCAGTGAGATACAAAGAGAGATCAAGCAAACGACACGTAGTTCAGTATCCAAATAACCACACAGTTAACTGCGATTTGCATGACATTGGAAGCTATAATGAATATATTTACTAATATTAGTTACATTTAAAAAAAAGCTTTTTTTTTTTGTTGAGACTGATCATGTTTCAGAAGATTAATAGTTGAAAGAGAGATTAATTCAGGTTCTTCCCATTTATTTATTATGAGTATTCATGAACTTTTCTTATTCAAGAGAGTGTCTATAGATGCGCAGGAGTTCAATCAAGGTTTTATTCAAATTAAACACTCTTGAGATTAGAGATCTGCGAGACTAGTTTTAGTCCCAAGTCTGGAATTAAAGACGACTGTTAGATATTCTTGTGTATTGAACAAATCATCGTATGAATCATACTCATAAATATAAACCCAGGAGAGACAATGAAAAAAGAAAATTTACAATCAAAACATGCGAGTTTAAGGTTTTCTATGAATCAATTGTGACATAATTTCTCCTGGGTCGAGACGAATGTCGGACTTTAAAAGAAAAAGAATCTTCTAGATTTAGACAACACAAATTTGCTCTCATATATTTCAAGTCTCGATACAAATAATTGCATGAAAACGGAGACATACCCATCCTTCATTTGACTTTAATTCATTACAGGTATTGTTTTTCTTAGTAGACTTTTTTAATATAAACATCTATAAGAATGTTGGCTCTTTCAGCTGATATTTAATGACAAGTAATTAGCGAATCACTTTTAAATTATATAATTGAAAAATTCAAGATTCTCAAGATACACTCTACACTATGAGTTACATCTATGATACAAAATAAAATTTGTTTTCCCATCATCTGAAGCTTCTCACTCAATTGCAAGGGTAGTTTTTTTTCGTTCGTATATCCGTACTCTATAACGTAGTTAACAAAAATTACATCGAATTTTTAAAAAAAATATAGGCCGATTTAAAGTTCAAAAATATTGTAGACCTGAACTCTCCGAAGTGTCTAGAGCAACTGAACACTTATATACCATATAAAGGTTAGCTATTGAAAAGTTCAGAATCCAGAAATATACAAATTTCAATCTCAAGATTAAAAAGCGTTATTTCATTTTTATGGCTATTCATCTGTAACACATACTAGATTCTACTTATCAATGTCATAAAATTGAAAAATTTGAATATTAACATATCAATCTATTTAAATAAGTATCTGCCCTTTTCGTGACGAGTGGATAACAACAGCCGTCATAAACTTTTATGCTAAAATATATAGTTATTTCAATTTAATAAGACTTTCTGATACATGGATATCAATCCTTTGCATAAACTAAAATATTCATATGAAATAAATCTAGTAGATGTTTCAACATTCTATACATGCATTCTTCCTATATATGAAGGTTAATCAGAAGGTGTTTCAAAAGTTCGAACGAAAAAGAAGAATGTGCATAGCTTCTCAGTTATTCAAGGAGTTTAAATTCTTGTTTTACAGTTTAATCACATACTCATTAAAGTTTTCAGATAAAATGTCTATGTTTACAGAAACCGGGATTAAAATAGTTTTACTGGTGGTGAAGTTCGAGTCAGCTACCATTGTAAAATGAAACTTGCAAATCAAATTGGGCAAAAAATACGTCAACTAAACATCGCATCAGCTACATAATTCGAATGGTTTTGTAAAACCAATACTGTCGACAATCGATGATCATAGAGTAATTCAAGGGAGAAACCGCAGACTTGAAATACATCAAAGTACTTTAAAATTACAGAAAAGTACTTTAAAGTAGCTCGAAGTGTGTTTAAGTAGCGCAAATTACCTTCAACTACAAAGTCTGCCGTTTCTCCTTGGAGTAATTACTGAAGAAAAATTCAATAAAGTTGAAAATGCTTGTAAGAAATGAGCCAAAATCAAATATTTGATCTCTTGTACAAGCTTTCTTATTGTCACAAATCTGATTATGACAGAGCATATCTTATCAAAGACAAACAAAGTATAATTCGTTCAATAGTTCTACGAAGACGATGCGCATATACTAAACACTTAATTCTGACTCTTATTCACATACATCATTAACTTCATCGATCTTTTCTTCAGTAATTACTGTACGATTATCAATTTTCGATCGTACTGGCTTCACAAAATCTTTGAAATTTGTTGCTAATATTTATTCGAATTTGATCATGAGTAATCTTTTTAGTCGTAAATATTTTATCTGAATAAAGCTTTAACGAATATGTGATTAAACTATTAAAAAAAAAGTATTTAAATCCCTTGAATTACTAAGGCGCTATGCACATTCTTCTTTTTTGGTTCGAACGTTTGGAACATACTGTATTTGTAGTTTGTGCTTTTAATTAGATTTCTATGTTAAACTTTCAAGTTTCAAATCATTATATTTTTTTTTTGTTTTTCTTAGAATTCGATATTTCGATGTATTAATTTTGATTCCAAATCTCATTTTTCTGTTATTTATTATTATTAAATGGATTCGAAGACGAACTAAATTGAATACAAATAAGCCATTATTACTGAGTGTTACTTGTTTACTTCTTTTTGTTACATTAAGCAATATATCGCGATGTTTATTTGTGATGATATTTCCTGACAATGCATTCCATGGACAAGAAATTATTGTTAAAGTAATGAGAAGAAAAGAATTTCTGTTGAGTTTGTTTTGATAAATGTTCCTCTTCTTTTTTTTTAGATTCTTTGGTTATGCATCCGATTTTTCCTCTTATGGACAGAATTAAGTGTTCTTCTTTTTGGTATTTGTTTTGGTAAATTTTTAGAAATAATTAAAACGTAACTTCTTAGCGATTTTTTGTCATTAGGACGTTCGAATTCAAATCGTCCATCAATTAAAACATTAAAAGTCTTAATTATTTCGTTTATTTTTGCATCAATTTATATAACTACACAAGTAAAATTTGTTTCGTTTATTGATTCAAAAACTAAATTGTCTTCTTACAGGCTGTACTAGAATTTCGTGGTGATACTCGACCAATAAAATTTCAAACAAGTGATTATCATCTTTATTCATATGGTGGCATGAAATTTTTGCTTATATCGAGTTCTATTTTTCTTACTGTAATTTTATTTGAAAAATATTTTTAAATATTTCTTAAATTTTATTATTTCAATTAGATGTATATAATTCTATTTTTTTTACCTTGCTTATGTCGTCGACATAAAAGATATTTACCAAGTAAAACTTAAATAATTATTTATTTCTTGAAAAAGATTTATTATTTTTATTTAGTTCGTCGATCATTTTATTTCTATTGTTTTGTTTTGGCATTGATTAATATGATACAAATCATTGGTACCATATTAAATTTAACAGAAGCTACAATATATAGCATGTGGTATGTTAGTTTATTTATATTTGAATAATCAAGAGCATGTTGATTTATGTTAAAATGAAAAATTATTTTCTGAAACTCATTGTATTTAGCGATTAGACATTTTCAAACATAGAAAGACAGTGGGTTTCTTATTTATAAATGATATAGTTATAACTTAAATCTTTCTCTCCTTTAAAATTGATTCTAAATCAGGAACATTCAAATCATATACAATTTTCAGCTCGGTAATATGATATTTTCATGAAATATTCGCCGAACTGTCCTGAACGAATATTAGTCCCTCAACTAACCTTGAAAAATCATCGTTTTCTCGCATGATATTCCTGTGTTTCATCATTTTTTTCTCAACAGTTTCTAAAAATCTTCCAAATATCCTCTCCCTTACTCCATCCTGGCGACCTCGATAAAACACTGGATATTCATCAAACAAGGCTTAAATGTAAGTAATTGCGCTACCCTACAACTTTCTGTAAGCCTTTGTTTTTTAATTAATATTTTATTTCTACTTTGTTTGGAACAGTATGGGAGGCTGCAGAGCCTGAAACAGGTCTTTTGTTATCTTTGACCTTCAATACAAAAGTATGAATTAAAGCAAAAAAGGCTTATGTCAGGTTCTACATGCTGACATGCTCTATCAAACAACCGGAAAATAAAATATATAGAATAAAGGTCTACAGAAAATTTCTAGTTCCCAGATGATCTATCTTAGACTCTTGTTTGATGAATATACAATCAAAACATCATGGTATCAAATTGAAAATCTCATGTATTTTGACAATTCTTGATAGAAAATCGATTCTGAAGGTGACGAGCTTAATAAAAATCCAGTGAAAGTTTGTGATATATTGCTATTGTCTAAAGCTTTCTAACAACTTGAAAAACCTTGATTATAAATAAACACAACGGAAATTCAAACTATTTCACTAGGCATATATGACGGAAATTCTCCTTTTGCAATTGATTCAATTAGACTTTGGAGAGAAAATTACACAGTATCGTTTATTTTTTCTTTGTTCGTATGCATCATTGCTTACTCAATGATCGTAAAATATTAGTAAACTTTCAAGGGTATATAGAAAAAAGAATTATTAAAAAATAATAACCATAAAAACTTACTATGAAAATAAAACATTGAGTAAATTTTCTTCTCAATAGTTCGTAAATATAATTTGTTTTCACACGAGTTGATATTCATAATAATGAAAAATTAAAAGTTTCATGAATTTTTGAACAAAAGAATGACATAGCGAATGATGAAATGAACAAAAATTAATGTATTTCAATACTTTTAATTAAAATATATATTTTAATCAAGTGAATGGAATTAAATTAATGAAAATGTTCATCTTAATTAATCAATTTGAAATACATTAATTGTCATGTTCGTTTCATCATTTTAATGGAATTTTTTTATATGTTTGAAGTCCCTGGATAACATGCATATAAAACAGAAACAAAAGAAGAATCTTTATAATTGAAAAGAAAAAAGACTTAATAACTTTGCTATCGTAGACTATACATGTAATACTCACGATTGAATTATATATACATGATAGCTTTAAAAAACAATTAATCTCATTTAATTATCATAGAAAAGCTGATTGAATAATTCTCGCGAACACTACTAATATTATTGTCTAATCTAATAATCACGAATTGATCGCAATGGACTAAGAGCTGTGTTCTTTTTCAGATTTTCTCTTCCGGAGGGACCATATAAAACTTTGGGAGGGCGTGAACATCTATTGTTGAAAGCACAGATACATAGTATGTGGTATAATAATCACAAGCTCCAGGAGAGGCAACTCAATTTTCAGAGCAGTACCGCCCTCACGCTGAATAAACCACTGACTAAGAGTACTTTTAAGGACTAGGGAAATTAATCAAAATAAGTTTTCTTTTTCTTTGCAGTATTGTTGATGGTACAAAATGTACATTTTACATATGTTTTGCTCCATTTGTCTATTATCAATTTCTTCGACGAGCTTTAAAGTAGTTGTCCTTCTAGTGTCTCTTTTATCTATCAATTTTCTTATTTTTAGATCGAATGTACTTATTCCACGCATAATATATGCCGATTCAACAATACATGATGATGAAGATGATGATCTTATTGATCCTGGTGTTAATACATTAATTGATAATTCAACAAATGATAGACTTGATGGTCAATTTGAAGATATAACATCCTCCACAAGAATAATTCATCCAGTTATATAAAAAGATACAATATTTATAAGGGTCTAATTATTTTTTTTTTCTTTTCGAATATTCGTTCAATTTAATTATTCAATTATTTTTTTTTCTTAAATAAAGAAAAGAAAGTTACAATGGTGGTGCACAACAGAATTTACGAGAACGAAATAACCATGTTGGAATACGATCATTGTCATTCAGATCTATAAAAAAAAAAATAAAATAACGTTTAAAAATAAATCGTATTGTTTGTATTCTATTACCATTGTCGTCACTATCCGGTGCTATGTCATAAATACCATGAGGATAATGTCCAAGACGATCGTGTAACTAAATAAAACTTTAATCATAGAACGACATTTTTTCTATTACTTAAAAGAAATTTACCCATGGGCGATTGCTCATCGATGATGGATATGCATGAGCAATAGATATAAAAACGATGATAAACATGAGAAAACGCAGGAACCAGGTCAACATGATTATCTTCGATGTCAATCGGACTTAAGATTGCGATGAAATGTCGACTAATATGAGAGAAAAAAAGAAAATGAAGGCTTAACTTGTTTCTAAATGTCTTACTAGAGAAAAAAAGAAGAAATTTCTTTTTTCTTTCTTCTTTTTACATCAACCAATACATACCGGACATCAAAGTCATAGGAGACTCTCGAGAAAATTGCTGTCAAATCATTTTCTAATGCATTGATAGAAAACAATTTCTTCTTTGTTTCGATTACAATCGTAAAAAAAAGGAAAATAAACTTATTGTTTTCCTTACTTTGTTTCCTTGTTCTCAATTGATGATCGGTCGACTCGGATCGGATCCGAACAATTACTCAACATCGAAGCGAGAAACTAATAAACGACATATGATAGTATGAAACAATAAAAGAAAAAAAATAAACATTATTTTTCTGAACACTTCATTCAATTGAGTGTATTAATTGTTCCGATGATATACTTCTATGATTTCGTTATTATTCATTAAAAAAAGCGAATTTTCTTTACAAAAATTTGAAAGACATCTATTTGCTTTTTTCTGACATAGTTTTATCATAATGAAATGTAACAAAATGCGGTGAATTAAAATGACAACGACTTCTAGTAGAAATTTTAAAAAACGAAAAGCCCGAATCTTTTTCATCATCTGTTATATCATCTAATACTGATTGAGTTATTGTCATGTCTCTATGTGATTGTTGGTGTGAATGAGTTATTGATATAGAAGATGTTTTTTCAAAATCTAGAAAAGCAAAAAATTAAAATTGAATTAATTATTTAAAAAAACGAAATTTAATTTTAATTTTTAATTTTTCTGATCAATCTGATCGTCCACAAGCTGATAAAGCTTCAACAAGACAAGTAACAATTTGTCCAGTATCAATTAAATGTTCAAATATTCGAATCATATTTTCGACACTATTTGATTCCCTTAAACGTCTTGGTATATGTTTTCCAAGAACAAATTGTAATCGGCATTTATCAATATCAGATAAATCATCCAATTTAAGTAATAAAAACTGTCGAAATTTCATATCCATTTTGTCGAATTGGTACATTGTTGAATCGGTAGCAAAAAAAGATGGATAATAAGAGGTCAACTCAACGCATTAACATTTTTTTATAAGAATTCGTCCTACATAGGAATTTTCACCTTGAAAGAAAAAGGGCATGTTCAACTTCATTGTGTTACGTAGGGAATATATTTTTATTTCAAATGTTTGACGAAGAAAATGAAAAAATATAACAAAAATACTGCCTCATGTTTCAAATAACATAAGATCGGTATAATCCATGAATAGTTGTCTTCATTATAATAAAATTATTATCCAGATTTTTAAATCCTTTTTAATTTTCTTAAAGTAAGATAAATGCTGAATTTAAAACTTAACTAAAACAATAGATTTTATGGTATCGAAATCTTATTGTTTATCAAAATATAACAATAAGCCAATAGAATTCTTGTTGTTTCTTCTCTCAAAGAAACCTTATAAAGTTATTATTTTATTTAAATAGAAATAAACGAATTTGCATCAGTTTTGATTAATCAAGATTTTTGTCAATAATTTTTTTTCTAATGAACACAAGCATTTGTTTATTCTTACATGAAATTATTGCCTTTCTATGATTTCTTCGACAATTCAATTTTTATCAAGATTCAAAATTGAATATTCAATACTAATTACATTCGATAATAATAAAACTGTGTAAGATTACCACTATGAAAAGTTACCATAAACAGCTTGTCAAACATCTCTGACAAGTAACATATTTCCTATAGCATAGATACACAGATGATTTCTAGCAATGGAAACAATTTCTTTTGTTTTTTTTTAAATTAAAACCCATAAATGGTACTATTTAATAAGGAATCATTAGGATATCATATCATTGGTTTTTCTTAGATATAGTAAAAATAGAAGTCACATAACTGCATTAATTTCAGTTAAATACGCACATGGACTGTTGTAGTGTTTTCGTGTTCGATAATTAATTCTACATGATGATTGATTTTCATATGTTGCACGACTTAAGCGAGAACATATCAAGTTGTTGGACAACGATCGAGTTCACATTATGGCTATGAATAGATTTCTATGAGACTAAATAAAGCTTAAAAGAATTTGGACCTATGGCTTATTATTGAAGACTTATGATGGTTTTAATGAAAGTTTTACTTAGAGCAAGATATGTTCGTAAAAGTCAAAACAAAGATTATCTCTATAGGCATGTTTGATAGTCATGAAAGTTTCAATGAAAACGAACAAGTCTTTCTCGAGGTATTCAGTTTCTAAGTCCTCCTTTTGTGAATTACTGATCTTTGGATATTGAATATCTTCATGACTATCAAACGTACCTATAGTCAAGATCTTGGTTTTGAATTGTTGGGAAATGTCTTCCTGTCCGTAAAAGTTTCATTAAAACGGCTATAATTCTTTAAATATAGGCTGTGGGTCTGAATCCTTTTGAGTTTTTCTTAGTCCTACCGAGATCCATTCATAGGCATAATGCCAAGACGAACAGTATTCGACAGTTGGATATATTCGCTCGCTAGTATGAATAAATTGCTATTAATAGACTTTGAATTATATTTTTTTGTGATTAATATCGTATTCTAGTGAGATAGACAAGATGAATAGAGTCCAAAATCTTGTATGCCAAAACATACAGTGACTCTGAAAATTTCATTTCTACTTATTTTCCGTCATGGTAATTGTCACGCAAGAGTTCCAACCATGATTTAGGTAGAGAAAATTGTTTCGAACAAAGATATGAATGAAATAAAATCCTTATAGTATTTCTAAAATCTAGGATCTCTAGAAAATCCAAAACCTAGCTTCTCTGCACTCAGAAACCTAAAGTAAAAGTGTTCATTGATTATACAGAATGATAGAGCAACAAAGCTCTCAAGAAAATGATATGTCGCCAGGCTCTCCACTACATTCTTTTAAATTAAGCTATATCAATTTCAAAGCAACTGCAAAAGTAGTCGTTGAGTCGTTTCTCGTAGGCACAAGGATCCTCGAGCTTTTTTAAAAAGTGATATAGTTCGATTAAAAAATGTCGTGAAGTAGTGATGGAGTTGGAACACTACCTCTATTATCATCGTATATTCTTAATAACACGATGCACGTAGCGAAAGATGCTAGTGTTCTGGTTGTGCCACTGAGTAGTAACTGTGAAAAAAATTCTTCACAATCACTTCGATTCCGGCTGAGTTCGATACAACGCTCTATTTATGATTAATCTTTCAAAATACTTCGCCATACATTCGAAAGGAATATAATGTGATCAAGTAATTTCTCAATGATTTTAAAGACTTTGATGTAAATCTTTATTGTCGAATCTTGAATTATAATTACAAAACAACATTCAATTGTCATATAATGTGTTTATTATTGTGTCGAACAATTTTCTTTTTTTTTATTTTGATGGTGAAGCCACAGACGAACGATAACAAGAGCAAAACTGAAGACAAATACAACATAAACCGGTCTAATACAAGCATAAACAGAAGAAAGAAAAGTACTGAATACGTATCGCATTGAATGATGTCATTCAAATAGACCTATGTAAAATTTTTTTTGATTAAGTGTTTTTTTGCTTATGTATTTCCTGCACTAAGAATTTTAAAGAATCGAACAAATTTTGCCACAAAAAAATTTATGACAAAATACCAAAGATTTCTTGCTGTGGGTCGTTTTGATATAAATATTCTCCATAAAAGAACAAGAATAATTGTATTAAATGCCCAACGTATATTTCTTAAATTATTTAAATGTCTTTGTGCACCATTTAAACATTTCATATCTTCATTTAAAACATAACGTTTTGTACCAATTAAATATGATTCAATATATGTTGGCCAATGTAAAGCACGTATATCAAAATTAAATTCATTAATATTATTTGTTTCACTAACTAATTGTCTTAAAGAATTTAAACTATCATATGAACATTGAATTTCACCACGAATAATAAATGATTCAAGACCAAGAAGTATTCGATGTAAATTTTTATATAAATTAACAACATGTGCTTTTCGTCCTATTAAACGTAAACCAATATCAGCTAAATAGGCTGGAATAAGATGTGAAAAAAATACATATGAATCATGTATTAAACTATGACTTGTTACAGATAAATTTGGGCGACGAAATGCATGTTCATATGGGATACGTTTTGAATATTCAATAAAATAATTACTCATTTCTTGCCAATGAAATGGATTAAGACCACTTGATGTACAGTGATAAATGGTTAAATTTTGTTTTTTTTCTTCAAAACATTTTTCCCATGATGCAGCAATTAATAAATTAACAGGTATATCAACTGGCACAATATCAAGTATATCATGTGAATCACCTTTCATCGAACGTAAATAACCACGACCAGCAGCAGCAAATAATTCACTTGGTCCATTCGATTTTTCAACCCAACCAGGATATGGTTCTTTCCATGCTGCACCTATTATTGAAACTCGAATAATTGATATTGGTGGTAAACTATTTTGTTCTCCTGATAAAACTGTTTCAGCAAGCCAATGTGAAAATGCAAATGCATTAGGTTTTGGACCGATTAATTTTGGTGTAGCTAATGCAACCATTTCTTTATCCATCCAATCAAGAGCATCGACTAATTTTTGTGGTTCAATTGGACATGGATATACACATTCATCAATAAATGGACAATCTAAATAAAATATTGTTTTATAGTATTAAAAAAACACATATATGAGTTTTTCAAACATGTTTCTGAGAAATTTTCGTTTTCGGATAATTTATATATTCAATGAGTTCTGCAGGATAGTCCGCAAGTAGAGCCTATTCGATTGGTTCTGGATCCAGATCTGAAATTTTTGAATTCGAGAAATTCTAGTCGTTTGAGATAATCTATACAATGCGCTAGTAACTGAATACAAAAAACCGGAAAAAAGTATCTCGTATCTTCGG